CACACACACACACACACACACACACACACACACACACACACACACACACACACACACACAAAACACGCATTCACGCACACACGCACGCACGCACGCACAAACACACACAAACACACACACACACACACACACACACACATACACACACGCACACACACGCGTGCGCCCACACTCAACCAGTCGTGTGCTTGTATACCAACACAACCATACACACTCTCAAGGTCAGTGGTTCCAATATCAATCATTCCTGGAGTGAACGCCCGGGAACTGCAACCGCTGCCCCTGCACCACTCAGGCCAAGCTATACCAGGAGATGCGGTCCCGTATCCAGGAAGACGACAGCAGCGTACCCAACAGGTTCAAGGGGTACTGGTGAGCAGCTACAACTGCGGTGCGCGTTTTGGCTGTGTGCTGCTGCCCCTCCCCACCCTACCCAGCCTGCGCAAGATGTGAAGGCCCCCCGCTGCCGTGCGGCCCAGAGTCACAGGTGCCGGCTGAACCAGCCGCCTTCATTCCAACGTGTATCCAATGACACACGTCAATCCGTGCATTGCTGCTGATCAGGCCAACGTATCACTGAATCACCCACACCATCCGCCTATCCTCAGGTACTATGCACGCGTCAGCGCAGGCCAGCAGTACAGCGTGCACTGCCGCCGCGCGGTCCCCGCAGGCGCGCCGTCGCTCAACGAAGCGGACGTGCCAGACGCAGCCTCTCGCGAGGAGGTGGTTCTGGACGAGAATAGGCGGAAGGAGGAGGTTGGGAAGGCCTTCTACCAGGTGAGGGGGTAGATGTGCAGCAGCGGCGCCAGCAGCAGCAGCAGCAGCAGCAGCAGCAGCAACAGCAGCAGCAGCAACAGCAGCACATGCACGGGGTCGACTGTGTCTGAGCTGCCGCAAGTTGGGTTAGCGTGGTGATCATGCTGGCGCACATCGATGAGCTTTCAAACCCCAGTGGAGGCTAGTCAGCATCAGGACCCAACAGTACAAATTTGATCCGCAGGGTGCATCCTTGCGGTCCCACTGAGGCGCCGTCGTCCCACAAGCCGGCTGACCCTACATTCACGACTTCCCTGCCCCAGGTTGAAAGCCTGGATGTGTCCCCCAACCAGAAGCTGCTGGCTTGGACCGAGGACACAGACGGTGGTGAGAAGTACACACTGCACGTCAAGGTACTGATCTCGCGCTGTGGAGTTTGCAGCAGCAGCAGCAGCAGCAGCAGCAGCAGCAGCAGCAGCAGCAGCAGCGTATGACACCACACACCACCAGCAGCAGCACCAGCAGCAGAAGGAGCTGCAGCCGTATTCCAGCTGCCTGTGCATGATTGTGGGAAGTGGTACACGATCCTCCTTATGGCGGAACTGAAGCGCGTACAAGGGATGAGCTGGCAGTCGCACATGAGCTGCATGTACCGGAACAACAAAGGCTTGCACCAGAAAACCCCGTGTCTCACCCATTCCTCCCCTTGCCTGCATAACAGGACCTTGCTACTGGGCAGGAGCTGATGGAACCCGTCCCCATGATGAGCGGCAGCGTCATGTGGGGCAACGACAACACACACCTAGTGGGTGCCTGCCCATCTCGGCCTCACACCTGCAGCCTTCCTCCCCGGGTTGCGCTGCATTTGGGAGTCTTTGCTCGCGGCGTGCGTTGAGTCGGGTCCTGCTTAGCAGGGGGGGCGGAGTGCTGCACAGCTGCCGGCCGTGAATGCTCTGGGTGGTCTGCAACCTGGGGCTAAACAAGGCCAAACCGACTTGTGTGCACGCCGCCTGTCTGCAACGCAGCTTTGCTGATGGCAGCCTTGCTGCATTCCGCCCACCACTGCAGTTTTACGTCGTGCCAGATGAGACCAACCGCCCCTACAGGGTCTGGCGTCACAAGTGAGGCGCCCCCGGATGTCAAGCAAACACACTCGGTTGCAGATTAATCCAACACGAACACACAGAGCCATGCGCCACACACAACCACACATGAACACGCTCACACGCGCTCTGTGCACAGAATCTCCCAGGGAAAGTTGACCCTGCACCCCCTGCACCCTCGGCTGCCTGACACCCGTGTATATGGCTTCCCCCGACAGGCTTGGGTCACCCAACTCTGAAGACGTCCTCGTGTATGAGGAGCGCGACAGCGGCTTCTTCGTCAACATCGGCCGTGACAGCAGTGACCAGATCCTCTACATCCGCACTGGTGTGCTGCGAACCGCGCTGCTGATTTCACGACCCACCTTGAGTACAGGGTTTGACCTGCAATTGTGGTATATGTTCGAGGTGCACCCGACTGCCCAAGGTGGTGGTGAAGCAGACTTCACTTCATAGAAAGATTGAGTTTGTTTAATCTGTTGCACTCTGTCTCCTACACACACACACACACACACATACACACACATACACACACATACATACACGCACACGCACGCACGCAATACACACGTTGATCCTGACCTGTTCTGTTTTCCGACCTGCGTACACAGGTTCCGCAGTGACAGGTGAGGTGCTTGTCCTGGATGCCAACAACGCCACTGGAGATTTCAAACCCATCCTTCCCAGGACACCGGTGAGCTTTGCTCAGAGCCGCCGCCTGCATGTGCGTGGGCAGGCCAGTGCGTGGCTATCCTCGCACATGTCCCACCGTATCGCTCAGGTCATCCAGGGCCGCGCCGTCGCCGTATGGTCTGCCATACTTCCAGCATATAATGCAAGAAGCCGCATCAGGCCAAGCGTACTATCGGCCTCACAGCGCTCGCACGGCCACCTTGCTTGGCCCTCCGCCCCCTTCATAACCAGGAAGTTGACTACTCAGTCAGCTACCACCCTGGCGACAAGCCCGGCGGTGATTGGTGAGCGCTGCGCTGCCTACCGCCTGCCCACCAGAACTAATCTTCTTCCCATCCACCCATCTGCCTCGTGCTGCTGCTGCTGCATACCTGTTGTTGCATACCCTTTGTTGCATACCCCAATCCTTGTATGCATCCACACAACACAGGCAGAAACAGCCGTCAATTTGTGCAGCCGTGACCATCCTACACCGTCCCAACCCGTCCTATTCCACCTGCAACCCTTGCAACCCCCGTAACCTCCCCTACACCCCAAGGTACCTTTTCAACATGCGGACGACAGACCGCCCCAACTCCGAGCTCCGGGTGGCGCCCGCCAGCAACCCCCAAGACCAGAAGGTGCGGGCCATGAACACTCCCATGTCCCCCACAAGAAGGGCGCAAACACAAGACAACCTCACGTCCACACAACCCTACACATCTTCGCATCAATTAGCAACCAACAAATCTACGACCTCGGCCTGCCATGCACCCGCTCAGCCCGTCCAGCAGAAGCTCCTCCTGCAAGGGTCCAGCAAATCCACACGGAGAATTAAGCACGCTAACACGCGACCCTTGAACAGGTGATCCTGGCGCACCGCGCGGCGGTGCAGCTGGACGGATCGGACGTGTCTCAGCGCTACCTCGTCGTCAACGAGCGCGCCAACGCCAGCACACGCGTCGTGGTGCACCGGCTGGCCGCCGGCGGCGCCATGCCCGCCGCGCCGCTGGGGCCGGGGGAGGTGATCTCCTTTGACGAGGCGGTGTACCGCCTGTCTGGAGGTGAGGCTGCTGCATGAGCGGAAACAGCCGTGTTGAAGGGTTGCTCTGTGTGTCTGTTCCATCAGACAGCCGGTTGTGTTCTTCTGATAAGGTCAAATGCTTGCGTGCTCTCGTCTTTGCATTGGAAGCAGCAATGTTAGGTCGAATGCATGGCGCTTAGTTCAAGTGCATGGCGCTACACCTGTTGATTGCCCTCTGCGCTGCTCTCACCATCTCAGGCCTGACGGGTGGCTGGGACAGCGATGTGCTGCGGCTGTCGTATGAGAGCATGACAACGCCCACCAGCACTATTGACCACGACATTGCCACAGGACGCCGCGCAGTACGCAAGGTGCGGGTGCCCAGTGATGGTTGGCTGCAGGCCAGGACTGCAGCCCTGGGGATGCGCGCGAGGTGCCCTGGTATTGACTTTGACACCAGCTTTCGAAAATTTGCCGTGATCATGGCGGACTGGCTCGGCTGTCATGGCCACTTTGAGAGACACGAGCTTGAACCCAGGCCAGGACAGGGTTGGCCAGCTGCTGCTTACAACTGATCAGTAACAAGAGCTGGACAGCTTGTTGGCGGCGCCCCACATGCTTATCCTGCTAAGCCGCCACGAATCTACACAGGTCCGCGCCGTTCTCGGCGGCTTCAACAAAGATGACTACAACTCTGAGCGGCAGTGGGCGACAGCGGCCGACGGCACCCGCATACCCATCAGCCTGGTTTACCGCAGGGGCGCATACAAGCGGGACGGCTCCGCCCCCATGCTGCTGTACGGGTGAGTTGCCTGAATTCTGGTGGCTGCCTCAGCCTGCTGATGCCTTTGAAATGCGTAACATGTGCGGTGAATAGAAATTGCAACAGCATGAGCCTCTCTGCGAAGCGTTTTCTGTGCCAGCAGCCACAATATTTGCCACCCGTGGTCACATGAACCGCTGATAACCTCTACTTCCTTTTGTCGCATCCATATTCAACCTCTCGGTGAATCTCAGGTATGGTAGCTATGGCACGCCCTCCGACCCCGCTTTCAACTCCAAGCTCATCAGCCTGCTGGACAGGGGCTGGTCGATGGCGATCGCTCATGGTGGGGAGGGAGGTCCATCCGCGCCTGTCTAGAGTCTTGTAAACTGCCAACACACAAAAATACAAACACACACACACACGCATACACACATATACATGCACACTCACGCATACATACATACGCACAGTTATGGAAGCATTTATATGAACGCTGGACAATAGAGGCAGCCGATCTTACAGCCTATCTTGCATGCAATCAATATCGCTTGCACATGCGCCAGCGCGCGCACACGTGTCGCGTGCACACACACACACACACACACACACACACACACACACACACACACACACACACACACTCACACAAACACACACACACACGCACAAGCGCGCGTGCGCATGGAGAAAGCGATATCTCTGTCTGCCAGAAGATAGAGGCAGTTTATCCTGCATGCAATCGATTTCGTCTCAACCCTACCTTTCCACACACACACACACTCGTGCAGTCCGTGGTGGCGGTGACATGGGCCGGCTGTGGTATGAGGACGGCAAGTTCTTCAAAAAGATCCACACCTTCACAGACTTCATAGCTTCAGCCGAGTACCTTATCAAAGTGAGTGTGGTTACATGACATGCGTGGTTACTGTGTTCCCCCCTATGATGGTCCCCATTGCGGCGCACAGCCTGGATGTGGCTGCGAGTTACAGGATAAAGCTCTGGCAGCATGCTGCTTTGTCAATTTGTGTTGCTGCCATGCCTGCATGGGCTGGCCGGGCGTGTGCTTGTTGAGTGTGCCACAAAATCCGCCCCTCGCACTCCCGGCGTGCATGGCATGCACTTGCAGAACAACTACACCAGCCCCAATGTGCTGACCATCGAGGGCCGCTCTGCCGGAGGCATGTTGATGGGCGCCGTGCTGAACCAGCGGCCAGACCTGTTCCGGGCCGCCATCGCTGGCGTGCCGTTTGTGGACTGCCTCACCACCATGCTTGACGAATCCATCCCCTTGACCACCAGTGAGTCATCCGCCGCTGATTTGGTGCTGGTTCCATCAATACTGCTTCATATGATGGCTGTGCGTGGTGCGGCCAGTTGGTGCGGCCACTCAAAGCCTAGGCTGGACCCAGAGACTCCCTTTGTCCAATGTCATATTGCTACCCCTGCAGACGAGTTCGAGGAGTGGGGCAACCCCAAGGATGCATTATTCTATTCCTACATGAAGAGCTATAGCCCGGTGGACAACGTGCGGCCCCAGAGGTGAGGAGCATGACTGGGGCTATATTGCGTTCGAAGCAACAAACTGTGCTTGCTGGCCTGGTGGTGCACATCGGAGCAGCACCTCTCAGCCACTCATGGCTCTTGCCTTTACGCAAACGGCCCCAATCCACTTGGCCTGCCTGCTCGTGCATAAGTCCCATCCTCACCCCAATGCCTTATGGCCATGAATACCAGGTACCCGACTTTGCTGGTGACTGCTGGCCTCCACGACCCCCGAGTTGGGTACTGGGAGGTGCGTCTTGTGGCTGTTGATGGTGCCACCTTTCAGCAGGGGCCCCCCTTTATTGTGCTGTTGCTGCTGCGGTGAAATGTCTTCCAGGGCCGCCCATGGGTGCGGGCCCCGCTCAATGCAAGCAACACAAACTCACGCACTCAAAGCCTGATCTTGTGTTCTTGCCTCCCTGCCTCACGCGCGCCCAACACGAACGCACCTGCAGCCCGCCAAGTGGGTGGCCAAGCTGCGCGCCACCAAGACAGACAAGAACGTCCTCCTGCTGAAGACCAACATGGGCGCCGGCCACTTCAGCGTCACGGGGCGCTTTGAGAGGCTCAAGGATGACGCGATGGAGTACGCTTTCCTGCTCAAGGCAACAGGGCAGGAGGCAATCCAGCCGCTGGCCGGGACGGGGGCCGGGGCCGGCGCGGCCGCGGCGGCAGGAGCCGAGGTCGACGCGGACGAGGTTGTGAGGGATGCGCAGGAGTGATGGGCTTGCCAAGCAGCTGTTCTGGTAGGAATTCAGATACAGGAGAAATTGGACAACTCTTGCATGTTTTAGGCTGCAACGGCGCGTGCTGCAATGCACCCCTTCCCCATTCCCGGGGCAAAATGTTGCAGAGGCCTTACAGGTGTCCTGAAACTCAAATTCGTTAAAAGAATGAAGTGCATGCACAAGGCTGCCAGTGGCATCCAATCTCCTCTCCTCTTGCTGCTAATTCCTGTCCCATCCAGATAGACCTTATTTGTTGATGCATGCCCCAGTGGGTGTAGCAGCTGCCCAAACAGAACGTAATTGTTGCACTGATCTTGACTACGTCGCATCTCAAGATGACGGGGGGTTGCGAGCGCACCTTCCACCTGCTGAACAACAGTTTTCAAGTGCTGCTTCACACATGCGGCCCCAAGCGCGCGGTGTGGAGTGCCACCAAGCTGCAAGTGTAAGCCTTGCGATGAGGGGCCTCGTCGCTGCAGTTCGGCCAGATGATAATGCGGACGGGGTCCAGCTGCCACACGCAGCAGCAAGCCTTGAGATTGTCATACCAAACATGAACGGTCCGCATCAAGTTTGTGGCATTCAGCTGAGATGGTTGAGCTCACCCTGGACCAGGGCGCTGCTGTGGACAGAGTGCAGCACTCTTCACACGCAGGAGGCGTCGCGGATAGCGCCTCTAGTGCCCCAGCTGCAGCTGTCGTACAGATCCGTCTCAAATGTTCAACGCAAGCTGTCATGCCTCCCGGCACGCTTCTCCCCGGAGAAGCGTGTGTGCAGCGACGCCTGCTGGGCCGCATCTGGGGCTGAAGATCACTTGATACTGCGGACGGGGCCGAAACCGACAAGCGTGCTCCTGTTGGTGCTTGCTTCAGCAGATACTCAGCTGCAAGCTAAGGTTTACAGTGTTAGAAATCTGCCGAGTCGTATAGCGCAGGGGTGCGTCCTGTGCAAGCTGCAACAGTGACAGGGGACACAGGCGCTGCGCACGCATGCTACGACATGCAGCAGCACCACCGAGGCTTGCGATGCCTGGAAGCTGGACGGGCGCCGATCAGTCGAGAAGACCAACACAAACGCCACGATGACAGCAGCGGAGAAACCCAAAGTGCTTTGGTACTTTGCAGACGCAGCAAGCCTGGCTGACCAACGACACGAATTGTGGTTGTGCCTCGATGAAGGCACAGGTCCCAGAAGGGGATATTCGGGAGATGCATACATGACCGCCTCATCAAGCGGCCGCCACGGCGGGGGCGGCCGCGTCCCCCGCAAAGTCCCGCAAGTACTTGGTGCGCGAGGGGTGCTCCTCCTGGGGGCGGTTGAAGGGCGTCCAGACGGGTGCCCCCACAAACAGCCGCATCGCCTGGAAGCCGGAGGGGCGGCGATGGCGGAAGCATAAGAGCGCAGCGCGGGGGGGCGGGGCAGCATCGGGCGGGGGTCGACAAGGCTGCGCCTTGCCCAGCTGGCCGCACCTCCCCTGGGCGGGCTCCGGACAAACGCCCACAAAACCGCTGCACAAGACCCAAGAAACCGCCGCACAAGGCCTACACAACGGCTGCACAAGGCCCTAAAAGCCCCTGCCCCCGCACCGTGATGTAGTCATTCTCGTCCAGGGTGAAACGGTGGTAGATGCCCTCAGGCAGCACAAGCATGTCCCCCTTTGTGCACCTTTGGGCGGCCCGGGGGGAGCGAGGTGGGACATGGCATGTGTTGCGGAACAGGCAGGGGCGGCTTAGGGCGTGGTCATAGCGCAGGCGCCAAAGGCACAGGTGATGGGAGCGTCGGCACGCTGAGCGTCGCTGTTTGCCCCTTGCAGCTACGCGCGTGCCCGTGGCTGGGGTCGACCCCAGGCAGAAGGCTCGTGCCCGGCCCCAGGCTGGACGCGGCCCACAGACGCCCCCAGCAGCCACACAGGACCCTTGGCCCCAGCAACCTGTTGGCCCGCCCCGGTGCTCACTTGATGCGGATCCAGTTGTCGTCGAAATCCCGGACATCAAAATAGCCGGTGCCGTCCAGGATGTACCTGGCGGTTGGAGGGGATGGAAGGGGGGGCGCAGGGTGCACGGC